GCCGGGTCGGTGGCGGGGCTCTGTAGTTGTGGCCGAGGCCCGGCTCCTCCGGCCTCCGAGGCGCACGGCCTGCCTTTCAGACCGTCCGTGTGGGGGTCAGCGGAAACAAGTGTAGGAAGGGCCCGCTTTCGGGAGCTGGAGGGGGCAGGTGTCTGCGAGGCCTCCAGGGAGGGTCCTGGGCCCCGGTGCTAATGGCCTGGCCACTGCTGGTGCCGTGTCCACATCCCCCTGGGGCCAGGACTGGAGCGGGGGTCCTGCCTGCCGTCCTTGGCTGTCTGTCGTGTTTTTAAGTGGAAACAGATGGGAGGCCGCTGGAGTCTGACGGCCTCCTGGTGAGGGTGCAGGTCAGTGGACAGCCCTACCCGAGGCCTGGGGATGGGCTGTGCCTCGGTTGTTGGAAAAGCCCAGAAGGTAGGGCGGCTCAGCCTGCAGTGGCCTCGCGCCGTCAGAGGAGCTTGGAGAGGGCAGACGTACACTGGGAGGTCGGGGGCCAGGCCCACAGTGGACGCTGCCTGCCTGCCGTCCTGGCCGCGCCGGCCTCACTCCTGGGGCATGCAGGCTTGTCCTGGAGCGCTGCCCGGCGTGGGGACCGGGGAGGGTCTCCTGGGGAGGAGGGGAGGCCAGGACCCAGCCAGCACCCCACATGCACTGGAAGGGCCTGGGGACAGGCCCTCCTGCCTCTGACAGGGCCCAGAGGCGTGGCTTAGGGTGCTGCCACCACCTCGTCTGCCGTCTGTCGTCCATCCGTCCGTCCGTAGGTGGCTCTGGCGCCCTGGCCTGGGGGTGCGACGGGCTTGTCTGGGCGCGAGGCTAACGCTATGCTGCCTTTCCTCCCGCACCGTGTCCGCAGGTAACTAGGATTTCTACCTCAACCGCGAGACTATGCAAGGATGGGGCGGGCTGGCGGCGCGGGGCCCCCCGCAGGACGGCGAGGACGGATGGAGGTCAGAGGACAGGCTCTACTGTGAATCAGCGCCGCGCAGAGCTGCGGAGACGGCGCGCTGGGGCCTGGCTCCAGCCTGTACTGTCGATAGTCTTAGATAAAGTATTTATCGTTTTTTAAAAAGTATAAACAATTTTGACTTATTTTATTCCACCGAAGTCGTGAAGGCAACTATCGAGAGATGTAGATACTATATTATATGAGAGAATATATGTAAAGACATCGCCGAAGGACCGGCCCACCGCGGAGACGCTGGCAGCCGGCCCGGTGCTATCTCGTCGCCAGGCTCGCGCCTCCACGTGCCCTTGGTGCTGACTCTCGAGGTTGACCACGCCAACGCCAGGCCCTAGCTCCTGGTGTGTTCATT